TGAAGGACATCGAGACGGCGTGCAAGCTGCTCAACATCGCCGCAGGTCAGTGTCCCACAGCCCTGCCTGGGGCAGGGTCAGCCCCGCACTGGGGTGCAGCAAAGGAGGGATGTGCCGGAGCGGGAGGTAAAGCCACGAGCAGAGCCCTGTGCTGAGTGCGGGGTAACAGTGTGACCACGGAGCCAGGGAGCTGCAGGGACGCGCCAACCTGATGCTGAGCCCGTCCCATGCCTGGAGCTGGGGGTCCCTTCCCCTCCCAGGGCATTGACATTGAGGTGCCTTTCAGCCTCATACACACATCTTGGGTAGTGAGGAGCAGACAGTGGGACTTTGATTATCCTTTTTGCTATCCCATTTTCCCTGTAACAGCGTGACCACGGAGCCAGGGAGCTGCAGGGACGCGCCAACCTGATGCTGAGCCCGTCCCATGCCTGGAGCTGGGGGTCCCTTCCCCTCCCAGGGCATTGACATTGAGGTGCCTTTCAGCCTCATACACACATCTTGGGTAGTGAGGAGCAGACAGTGGGACTTTGATTATCCTTTTTGCTATCCCATTTTCCCTGGGACATTAGGAATAGGCAGAGGAGTGTGTGGGGTTGGGGACAGCCTGGAGGCAGCTGGTATTACCTGAGCCAGAGGGAGGGTTGGGTGCAAAGGGAGCAGGAGAGCCCAGCTCCAAGTTCCCTGGGGTCCTGCTGCCACTGGGCATCACCAAAGTCCTCCCTGGGGCATTACTGCCTCCAGACCCCGTGGACTGGAGCCCCGGCAACGTGCAGAAGTGGATCCTATGGACGGAGCACCAGTACCGGCTGCCCCTTCCAGGAGCTGTCGGGAAAGGACCTTTGTGCCATGTCCGAGGAGCAGTTCTGCCAGCGCTCGCCCGCCTGCGGCGACATCCTCCATGCCCACCTTGACATCTGGAAGTCTGGTAGGTGCCGGGGACTGGGAAGGTGGGTGATGCTGCGTGGTGGGAGATGCTCCTCTGACTGCCCGCTCCTGCCTTCCAGCTGCCTGGATGAAGGAAAAAACCACCCCGGGAGATGTGAGATACTGCGGTGAGTTCTGTGCGGGCTCAGCTCCATTGGCCTTGCTGCTGCATCAGACAGGGCTGGGGTATTTGGGAGGTCAGTCCCTGCTTAATTGCCATTATCTGGTGTGTGGGAGCAGCTGCTGCCGGGAATTGCCATTATCGGGTGCGTGGGAGCAGCTGCTGCAGCAGCATCCGTGTGGTTCTACTCCCTCTGCCCCACAGCAGCCCCTGCAAGGTGCAGCCAAAGGGAGATGGCCGCAAGAGTCCCACCAGCCCTGTCCTGCACCCTGTGAGTCCCCGTGGGGCTGTGCAAGGGCAGGATGGAGCTGTTTTCTTGGCTCCAAGACAGACAGGAGACAATTGTACTTCCAGACCCAGTGTCTGGGCTAGGTCTCCAGAGATGCACAGGCATCGAGCTGGGGTTTCTCAGGATGGTCCTCAGGATGGTGCAGAGCAGCGCGGTCTCTCTCCTCCCCCATCTCACCCATCCCTCTCCGCAGCAGGAGGTGATGCTGGCTGGGCAGACAGCGAGGTGGACTCATCCTGCACGGGCCAACCCATCCACCTCTGGCAGTTCCTCAAAGAGCTGCTGCTGAAACCGCACAACTACGGCCGCTTCATCCGCTGGCTCAACAAGGAGAAAGGTGGGTGCTCCGGTGGCACTGGTGGGTCTGGGGGGGGGTGCAGACAAGGCTCCTGTAACCCCCGGGTATCTTCAAGATCGAGGACTCGGCACAAGTGGCGCGTCTGTGGGGCATCCGGAAGAACCGCCCGGCCATGAACTACGACAAGCTGAGCCGCTCCATCCGGCAGTACTACAAGAAAGGCATCATCCGGAAACCCGACATCTCCCAGCGCCTGGTCTACCAGTTTGTGCACCCGGTCTGAGCAGCAGCAGCAGAGCCCCCCGGCAGGGACACGGGGCCCCCGCCACCTCCCTCTGCCTCCCAGCCACAGAAACCATCTGCCAGCGCCAAGGACAAGGGTGCTGAGAGGCTCCATCCTGCAGGACCTGCTGCCAATGGACCACGGGACTCCTGTCACCAGCCAGCCTCGGAGAGGAGGGATGAGCCCCCAGCTAAGGGACAGCCACCAGCGTGCCCTGGAGTGGGGCAGGGACTGTGCAACCCTACCCCAGGGGAGGGTAGGAACAGGATGTGGGACCGACGCGGAGATCAGAGTGAGATAAAGGCAGATAAATCTGTGGCTGTCATGGGGCTCCCCACAACCTTGGTGCTCTTTGGCAGGGATTGAGAGTGGCTGGGGTCACGCAGGGCAAGAGCTGGGGCACGCAGGAG